GTTCAAACACCTCCAATAAATTATATAAGAGAAGAAATACTATCTAATTTCTTACGAATAATAACTCCAATATGATTTCGCAGCATTTTTTTAATACTCAAAAGTATCTATTAACATAAATGCATTTTCCAATACACTTTTCACTTTAAAGCATTCTTGTTTATTTTCAATGCAAAAGCTAAGCGAACTTGAAACTGAGGTCTTTTTAATTCGAAAGGCATATCAAAAGGAATTAAAGGAGTCATGTGACTTGTGGTTCCGAAGTTATGCCTGATAAAAAATTTCAATCCTTTATTTTAAAACTTAATATAAGCACCTACTGTAGATATGTCTGCATACCAAATTTCAAGTTCATGTGACTTATGGTTCCCAAGTTATAGCTGATAAAAAATGTGCAGGCCTATCGGAGGTACTACGCCCCCTCACAAAAGGACACCATATTTACAAATAAAACCTCACCTTTAACCTTCCCGTGATAAAAACAAATAAGTGCGCAAAGTTTCGTGCGATTCCGTGTCGTGGTTCAAAAGTTCTAAGGTAATAAACAAACAGACATTCACATTTACATATATCACGGTGTCCTTGAACCAGATTCAACTCAATCGGTCTGGAACGATGGAATTCCCGATTAGCATATTTTGGGACGGTGTTCCCGAGTTAGAATATGAAATCGTAGTTCCGATTCGATGTTCCGATTTTAAAAACTGCAACTTTTTCGATTTTCAGCCGACATTTTCGGATAGAAGTATAATATAAATAAGACTGTATATGAGTAATTTTTTAAACATCAAACCCTAACCGCCAAAATAACATAAGCGACATTTTTTTCAAAAGTTTCTTTTTGATGCAGAAATATTCCTAGAGCATCTAGATGCTGTTCTGCATCACAACTAAAATTTTGAAAAAAATATGTCGCTTACGTTATTTTGGCGGTTAGGGCTCGATCTGTATATACATACATGTACATATAACCTGTGGGGAATTTCGTAGTCATCTACTATAATAGCCAACTTTTGGTCCACTTATAACGGCCAACTTTTATCTGGTTTCAAAAAAGTTAACTATAAATACTTATTACTCTATATCTATCCTTTTATTAGTTATTTTTTTTGGCTTAATAATATAAAATTGTATTATCGTCCGAGGCCGGTACTAAATATGAGCAGGGCCCCCTCTAACCCTAATTTTTTTTTTTTTAATATTTAAACGAATTTCCAACGTTATCACTACATACTTATTCAGTGCTTCTGAAAAATACCAAATATTTTCGTAGTATGTGGACATGGTACAATAAAACAGGTAGAAGCCAATTTGACGTCAAACCTACAAAAGTCAAAGTTTTCGGGAGAGTAAAAATAAAAATGAGCGTGTGTAAGGAAAAATAAAAAAATACATTTCACTGGTTGACGTTTTTAAGTATATTTGAAGTTTATTCTTATTTATTTATTTTCTTTAGTTAAAATTTGATAAAACGTGTATGTTGTTTTCTGTTTTTGTTTTATGAGTTGCAGTGTTGTTGGAGGGACTTTTCGGCATAAGGGTCATAGGAACAGCACTTGGCTTCAAACGTGCCTTTTCTGTACCTCCCGGTGTATTTGTGGAATCTACTTCTTTAAAATGTTTAACGCACAGCAAGGCATTTCACTGCAGCTCTGCCCACAGCTGCTTTCGCAACGTTCCTTACGCGAAGGACATTGAGGCACGTTAAAAAATTAGTGGTATCTGCTTTATATTTAACACCACATAAAAAACAACGCTTCAGGTGTTGCATTTTTAACACATACACTAAGTATAAACCGCACAACACTACAAAAATTCAAATGCAAATTAAAATTTGTTATTAACGAACATTCAAAAAAAAAACAACGATATGACATTCAAAGCGTAACGAAATATAGGAAATAAAATAAAATCAAGTTGAAGTTTAAAGGTTTGGTTCTCATGAGAGCAACGTCATTTTGGCTTCTACCTGTATTTATGTGCCTTGGTATGTGGAGAATATCTTTTTAATTATATAAAAACTTCGTCTAAAGGGAGAATTTGTTTTGCGATACTGTTTATACAGATCAAGTGAATGCGTAAAATAGTGTTTATGGTTTTAGTCAAATGCGTTCATTTAAGCTCAGATGGGCTGTATGCAAGAAACTCGCCTTCTATATATTTCTGATTTCCTCTGTTGTAAATACCTCGAATCTTTTTGAAGATCACTCTACAATTTCGAGCTCAAAAAGTTTCATGACCGATGGGAAAATCATTACAATCACAACATTTAGACAACACGTGTTGACTTTGGAACCTTTCTATGTTTCACATTAGGCCAGATTGGCGGTTGTTTTGACTAGCACGGAAATGACCTTAGCACACTTGCATGTGTATCTAGACATGCGCTTTCGCATTTATTTGATATTATAAAAGCTATGTGAATATTAAATAATCCAATTTATCTACTTAACAAAATTTTATAATTTTTATCTTCCAACTAAATTTAAGGAAAAATCCGGCCCAGGGATTTGGAAAGAAATTTGTAATAACAAGTAAGAAAGTCTAAGTTCGGGCGGAGCCGAACATTAAATACCCGGCGCAAGTATTAAATATATGTTTTCCACCTTTCCGAAAGCTACCGCTACATGATAAGCCGGGGTGTATACATTTTAAGTAAATTAGCGTCCTTAAATTTCGAAATATTGAA